GGGGGTAACCGCTAATGATACGCACGCATCACCAGAGCTGAGAGAAAGAGGCCGCAATAATCATTCAGTGTGGCCCAATAGCAACCCTGACGAACGCGATAACGGAACAGTTCGCGTCGGCTGAAGGACCAGCAGGACTATGGTGTGGACGGCACCGAAGGTGTGATTACAGGAACAAGGAATCTGTTAGCCTGGTCTTTGGGATTCTTACTCGAACCAATCAGTAAAGACTGACACTGTCTGTCTTCAGAGGTCCTACTTGCCTTTGACTCATAATAATAACCTACTTTTACATTTTGCAGTAGCCCGACTTTCCCATTTTTCGTTAAATTCCACCAATATAAGGCCGAATTTCCCTCCTTTATTAAATTCCGCCGACTTTAAGTCAAATTTTCATCAATTGGCATCAGTTGCCTGAGCAACAGGAGCTTATGGCGATGGAGTTGGTTCTATTTAGCTCATTAAACCAACAGAATGCGGCTTAAATTTAATATTCTTGGGCCACTTTCGACACGATTACTTATTCATTCAGGCTCGTTCATCAAGAATTAAATATTTAACCAGCAATTCCGTACGACACTCAGGCGGAGGGGGGAATAGATATTTAGGTGGCCCTACAAGACAGTCTTGCCAAACAGTGAATTTCTGAAAAGGTTCTTCATGGATGTACGCGACAGTCGACTGATGTTCTGAAAAGGTATGTAGGCGTCCCCGTCGGTAGAATGTTCATGAACATACTTAGAAACCTTACCTAAGCCTTCCTACGTGTTGAGAGTATATGTGCTGAAAACGTATCCAAATGGTTGATCTATTATATTAATTAAAATCGACGTATAGCAAAGGAAGAGGGTCTATTGCGTTAAAACACTCGGTATGGAGAACAGAGGAGACGGGCAGTCAAATAGAATAAGGCAACACCTACTTTTGCAATCGGACAGAGGGTCTTTAGACCCCAGCCACGTTCATCCCCGGTCCAGAAGGGGCGTTGTGGTGGATATTCGCGTCGCGTAAAACGCTGATTTCGACACTTCTCGCCGTGTACACAGACGCCGGGAACACACTCGAAGAGGAGTTCCCTGTTGATACAGCCACTGTTGGGTCCACAGGGCTCCACATCAGGGGTGGCTTTGCATTCACACTGCAGAACTTCGCTCAGGTCGGTGTAGCGATAGAGCCGCACAGAGCCAATGGGATAATTAACCTGTAAGAGGAGTGGAGAAGACGATTTAATAAAGTTGCATGGTTACAATTTATATTTCCAAGAGTACCGAAGCCATAATGGTCCCAGATCTGATATCACCTACACAATGCGAAAACATATTCAACGAACTACTACACTGAAAGCACAGATACTAGTTACAAGCCCAGAAAGTAAAAAGGTGAAGATGTGAAATATTTAGTATGCATAGGGGAAGCAGATTGATAAGTAAAGTATAGGAGAACGGGTTTAGAAACAAAACAGTGCTGATTCAATTAATGTCAATCCATGGGACCCAGTGAGACGACGACAGCTGTATACAGTCTTTCAACGGCCCATTTCACACCCCTCAACATGCATCCTTTGCTGGTTGGTTATCCCGAAGTGTGGGCCTTGCTAGAATTCTGACGGAGCCAGAATTCGAAGAGGGCCCTGGGCAGAGGACGCCGCGGAAAGCTCTGTTTTTGTGTACGGAGAACTTCAAAAGGTATGTAATTACTTACCACACTGGCAGTACTGGTACTAGCTACAAGCCCGTGTGGACGCGTGTTTCGCCGGTATTTTAGTCGCTGCTCGACACCGCGGAAACATCAGAACGTTTTCAGCAAGGGGAACAAAAAAATTGCCCAACACACACACACACCGTTCCCGCCTATATACGCAATCAAAAACAAGCAGAGTTAAGACGGCGGAGCGAAAGCCGGCTGCTGACATAATACTTATTAATCCTTCTTCAAAAAAACAGCCCTCTAGGCGCCGATTACCAAAAACAGGTCGGATGCGATTGAAGGTAGAACGGCTGACGTCATGAGTGGCGGCAGACAAAAACAAGCTTATTACAGCCCGTTAAGTGAATTTTTCTCGAGGATAAATAAGTGCGTTACCGTGGTGAGAAAACAGTGGCAAAGCCTGCATCAAAGAAATTATAGGTAAGCAGTTTTCGAGAGGACTGTGGCCAAGGAAAGCAAATTTACACCGTTTAATGTGGCGTTTGAGTTGACTATTTTTGCTCTTCTAGGGCCTTCTTTTAACTTATTTAAATGTGGGTAGGTAGCAGACAGCATTCGGAGGTCTTTTAAAACAGAAGGAAGTGGCGTGGTCGGAAAGTACCTATATGTGCAGGAAACGAAAGCCAGATTATCTTTGAGAAACCTTGAAATGTCAAAAGGCATCCGCGAGGAAGCAGAGGGAATTAGGAATAACATCCTCCTGAAAACTCTCTCTAATTCCTAATAGTTCTTATCCCCGGAATAATCCGCCTCATAAGACTGTAAGTAAGAGAGAGAGAGAGAGAGAGAGAGAGAGAGAGAGAGAGAG